TAATTAACAAACTGACCAGCAGCGTGTTTAGCGACTCCTGTAAAGAGACTTTAAACAAACTGGCGTGTGCATCGTATACACCGCCGTGCGATGGGACTAAGATAAAAACATTGTGTAAACACAGATGCTCGTTGCTATTTGACGACTGCCCGGAGGCTTTCAACTTCATTGAAGTAAGCAGCTATTGTGCTGAGTCTGCTCAAGGTGACACGACCAGCGGTTTCTGTGAGTTGACGAGGTGGCCTAGTGCGAGGCATTGGGATAAAGGTTCGTGCGCCTCTCTTCAAATCTCAGTGTACTTTTAGTCCTTACTAATATTCGCTGTACTTATAATGACTGCCAGCCTAGTCTCCAGGCGTTCTCTCTTGCCCCGTTGTCCGCGTGAATTCTGGGAACTGAGCGGGCTAGACTCGGTGACGTCACAGCTCACGGTAGAGTACAGGATTGACCGAGCCGAGAACTCCTAGGGACTAGGCTGAATGACTGCTAAAATACTGGCGTCTGTCGGTTTTTCTGTCTTACTTTCACCGTTTTTGTTTTCCTTTTTAGTTTGTTGTTTTGCCAGGAGTCCATTGAAAAAACCACGCGTAGTCCCTAAGTTTCCTCAGGGTCAGTGGAATCAAGTAAAATACGCGAGCGCGCGCGAGAATCGCCACATGCGTGTCGCCTCTCCACGTGGTAGAGGGGCGAGGAAATAAGGTGCCATCTCTAAATAGACTAGAGATAGTGAAGAGGTCCATTATTTCTGAGCTATCTTGATGAAATGAAAAAATGTTTCTATTTCTCTTTCCAGGAAAGCGTCTGCACACAGTCAGACCAACGTCCTTCCCAGCAGGCCTCATTGCTGCCCTCGTTTTGGTGCCACTATCTGTATTCTGCTTCATATACTTAGCCGTAGTACTGCGCAGGCGCTATGAGCAGAAGAGAAGTGGTAACGTCCAAGAGCTGTTAACGTACACTGAGCTGCAAACAGAGACAGCTGACTCGGACAAGAAATTAGCACTCATAATGATCCGGCCAGGAACTAAATAGTGCTGTTCCGTGCGACGGGAAAAGCCTCAGCGTCAGCTTTGTCAGCGACGGGCGTCAACCGGAAGTGGACATTTTGCATCACAGGGCAGCGGTTTGGATCAAACTCTCGAGTAAATTGTCTTTATAAGAGAAAAGAAACTTAGCAATACAAATTTGTTAGCATCAAGGCATATACATAGTGAGAAGGCCTCACTTCCGGTTGATGTGTGTCGCTCAAAAACGTCTTTGCAGCTCCCTGACAGGAGTTCTAAGTTCGGCTAAACAGCTGCGCTTACCCTTATAGAGCGGTTTTCATTTGAGTGTCGAAAAGTAATTGGTTTTGCACTTTCTACACGATGCGATTGGCTTAAAAGATTCGCGCCACCTTTTCATCCAATCAGAAGTAAAACCAAAGCCAATTGTGAAATTATTTTCCTTCAATATTGCCTTCAATTATCATTTCTGCATTGTCATAACAATGAACTGAACAATGTTGTATTGTTAAGTTTATTTACTTTGTTTCGAAATTTAATGGGCAGTTACTAAGAAAAAAAAATAATCCAGTCTTGGCTAGTACTAAACTGGGACATTTTTACATCCCTTGGATAAACAGGCTTTGAGGGCTGAAGAGAAAATGAATTTGAACTTTTTGCTACAATTAGCAAATGTGCTTTTAGTCGCAAAACTGGCAAGATCTGAGAGCACATCGGAATGTCGCAAAATAGATGATAACAAGTTCCCAAACTGCGTAACTCATGGCTTCACAATGACAAGCGAACATCTCGCAAGTAACTTCTACAGCGAGACTTATTCAAAGGTAATCAACAACATGACAGCGAAGCTCAACGGTTGTTCAAAATACACCAGCTATGTCCTCTGCTCACTCTACGTACCACGATGTAAAGAAAACATGCTTGGTCCTTTGCTTCCATGCCGTGAGGTGTGCGTGGAGTTTGCTCGCGGATGCTCCAATCAAATGAATTCCAATGGCTTAAATTGGTTAAAGCCTCTGTGTAGCTTGCTACCTATAAAGAGGAAAAGTGCTACTTGTTTTATACCACCGGATTTTAAACCTCTGAAGAAGCCTCTTTCAAGTACGTATGTATGTTGCTTAATTATGTATCAAGTAGAGACGGTCACTCAACGGAAAAAAACAGGTGACCGTAAAGGTGTTCGAAATTAAGCCCGTGATAATCCGCAAATTGAAGTAAATAGACAGTGAAATTGAGCGGAAGAATTCTATTTTATTATTCAACAGCTATTGAATAGTTGCGCTGTTTCTAGCTCACAAACCAGTCAATTTTGCTTGGTTAACTGAAAGTTTCATTGTATCATTTTCAAAATTACTGAAACTTTGATTTTGAATGCACGCATCACGGCAAACACAAAACAGCTTTCCGGGCTCGAAAAATTCCTTTTTTTTTTTCGAGAAACATGCCCCAGCTCCGTTTATTAGTCACACCGACTGCCCAAGGAAGAAATTTCGAATTTCGAAGACTTTGCTTGAGAGGTACTCAGTTTTGCTGAGTTATGATTTGATAGAGAGGTTTTCGTTTGAGTGTCGTAAAACCAAAACCAAAGTAATTACTCTGGCCAATCACATAGGACACAGACAATACACTGAACCAATCAAAACTCGAAGTAATTACATGTGGCTGACGCAAAGCGCGGGAAAATCGTGCGAGCGCGTCACAATTGGCTTTGGTTTTACTTCTGATTGGATGAAAAGGTGGCGCGAATCTTTTATGCCAATCGCATCGTGTAGAAAGTGCAAAACCAATTACTTTTCGACACTCAAATGAAAACCGCTCTATTGATGTTGTCGGTTTCGTTATTACTTAACAGGCCTTCAATGCAGGGAAACGGTGTCAAATGAGAATTGTCAGAAAGAGGAATGTAAAAGAACATTTATATCAAGGAAAAGGCAAACACAACTCCAAGACAAACTGACGACATTAATTAACAAACTGACCAGCAGCGTGTTTAGCGACTCCTGTAAAGAGACTTTAAACAAACTGGCGTGTGCATCGTATACACCGCCGTGCGATGGGACTAAGATAAAAACATTGTGTAAACACAGATGCTCGTTGCTATTTGACGACTGCCCGGAGGCTTTCAACTTCATTGAAGTAAGCAGCTATTGTGCTGAGTCTGCTCAAGGTGACACGACCAGCGGTTTCTGTGAGTTGACGAGGTGGCCAAGTGCGAGGCATTGGGATAAAGGTTCGTGCGCCTCTCTTCAAATCTCAGTGTACTTTTAGTCCTTACTAATATTCGCTGTACTTATAATGACTGCCAGCCTAGTCTCCAGGCGTTCTCTCTTGCCCCGTTGTCCGCGTGAATTCTGGGAACTGAGCGGGCTAGACTCGGTGACGTCACAGCTCACGGTAGAGTACAGGATTGACCGAGCCGAGAACTCCTAGGGACTAGGCTGAATGACTGCTAAAATACTGGCGTCTGTCGGTTTTTCTGTCTTACTTTCACCGTTTTTGTTTTCCTTTTTAGTTTGTTGTTTTGCCAGGAGTCCATTGAAAAAACCACGCGTAGTCCCTAAGTTTCCTCAGGGTCAGTGGAATCAAGTAAAATACGCGAGCGCGCGCGAGAATCGCCACATGCGTGTCGCCTCTCCACGTGGTAGAGGGGCGAGGAAATAAGGTGCCATCTCTAAATAGACTAGAGATAGTGAAGAGGTCCATTATTTCTGAGCTATCTTGATGAAATGAAAAAATGTTTCTATTTCTCTTTCCAGGAAAGCGTCTGCACACAGTCAGACCAACGTCCTTCCCAGCAGGCCTCATTGCTGCCCTCGTTTTGGTGCCACTATCTGTATTCTGCTTCATATACTTAGCCGTAGTACTGCGCAGGCGCTATGAGCAGAAGAGAAGTGGTAACGTCCAAGAGCTGTTAACGTACACTGAGCTGCAAACAGAGACAGCTGACTCGGACAAGAAATTAGCACTCATAATGATCCGGCCAGGAACTAAATAGTGCTGTTCCATGCGACGGGAAAAGCCTCAGTGTCAGCTTTGTCAGCAGCGTTTTTTGAGCGACGGGCGTCAACCGGAAGTGGACATTTTACATCACAGGGCAGTGGTTTGGATCAAACCCTCGAGTAAATCGTCTTTATAAGAGAAAAGAAACTTAGCAATACAAATTTTTTAGCGTTCGAGGCATAAAAAAGAAGAGAAGGCCTCACTTCCGGTTGACTCAACTCACTTCCGGTCGCTCAAAAATGTCGTTGCAGCTCCCTGACAGGAGTTCTAAGTTCGGCTCAACAGCTGGGCTTACCTTTATACTCTAAAATGAGAAACAAGTTAGAAAGCAAATCATGATCATAAACGGTACGAAAGGAAATTATTGCTCAGGAGCAATCACTTCAGTATTTAACCGTAGCAATCCATCAAGATTGGAAGTTATAAACTGAAAAACCCCTTTCATAACTTACTACTGAGAAACAGGGGAGTGATACAGCACTACTCCGCGAGTATGGTAAATACCTACATATTCCCAAATTAGCTTAGATAGGTTCTTACAAAAATAGTATGGTACAAATTTATGTTATTTTGGGGAGGTTCTTATTTTTGAAGAAAAAACATTAAGTTGTAGTTAATTAACAGAATGTAGTGATATCCAGCCTACTCCTTACAGAAAATTTGCTTGCCATTAAAAGTGTCCATAACAAGAAAAACTGATCACATGAATTTTGAAGTCCTCCTTTCGAGCACACACATAATTTTAAATAGATTTTAGAAAATAGGTACCTGTTTCTCGGTGTTTAAACTTTACGCTAAACAGGTTCTTGTATAGAGCGGTCTAACTGGCAAATTTTAGCTTAACAGGTTCTTAAAACCTAGATTCTTACTTGCGGGGTAGTACTACTGTCTACTCAATAATTTGAAACGCCATGAAGAAAACACCGACAGAAAAAAAATAAAAAAGTTAATTTATGACGAAATGTCTGCAAACATGACGTAGTATTCTTGCTCAACAGCCATAAGTATCCGAAAGTTTAGGATTGTAATATAAAAGTAAATTGTCTGACTATTTTACCTATGCTTATTTATTATTATCATTATTATGCTCACTTTTTCAATGCACTTCCACTTACGGTACGTTTAAAATAGAGATGTCTCAGTCCACAGATTACTCCATACACTTAACTATATATTGACACACGCGTAACCTCTATTGTTCCTCTTCGTCATCGAATACAAATATATTGCCTTAACCTTTTATGTATTAGCTTATCGAATAATCTGAACAGTAATCGCACACTTCAGCATTTTTTTCTGGCTGAATGAGTCATTAGTGCAAGATAAATTTTTTCAAGGAGTGCCACTTAAAAAAGAATCTAAGCGCTGACGCACAGAGACGTTCTTAGCTAACTTATAATCGGCGTGCAATCACTTGGTGTCTCTAATGACGATCTTGAGACATAGTATGGAATTAAAAAAATGCTCAAAGAAGATGCACTAAATCACGAATGTTCCAACTCAAATTTATGAACTAGGGCTTCAAAAAGACTAGTCCTTTCGTACTTTGCGCGGGTATAATTGGGACATACACAGTTTTTTAACCTTCTGGGAAAGCCGGAAATTTTTTTATAGGAATCGGGGGGATTCGAAGAAACGGGGCAGGCTGAGGGGTTAAAATATTGATCAGCGTGACTGGTCCGTTTCATTAGCGAAGGAACTCCAGTCCAAGATTCAGTCTATAGAGCAAAATTTAGGAGTTGAAGAGGCAGGTAACTTGCATACATAATAAAAAGTAAAGGTCGGTACACACTAGGCGACAAGTTGCTGCAACACGTCGCGGCGACAGATCACTCCATGTGTACAGGTCGGGCGACTAGTTGCATCAACAAGGTAAGGCGACACGTCGCAGCGACAAATCGCTTCGTGTGTACTGGAGAATTTTTGTGAAAATCTTTGTCTCCGCAACAGAATTTTGTCGCTGCAACAAGTCGCAAAAAATCAAATCAGACTGAATCTGTGCGACTTGTTGCGGCGACAAATTCTGTTGCAGCGACAAAGATTTTCACAAAACTACTCCAGTACACACGAAGCGATTTGTCGCTGCAACGTGTCGCCGCGACATGTTGCTGCAACTTGTCGCCTAGTGTGTACCGACCTTAAGGATCATGTGACAACTCCAGGACACATTTGTAAAGTTGAAACAATTCAGTAAAATAATTCAAAATAAAACATTCAACTAAAAGTGATAGAACTGAGTTCTTGTGGACGGCAGCAAGGTAAAATTAAAAAGGTTCTTGATCTTTAGGATCTCAATTCGAACATTCCAGTCTTTCGGGGAAATAGTAAACATGATGAAATTTATCGTTTCGTGAAATCTTATCTCCCGGGTCTATTTCTGTATTCACGTCACTGTCTTCTTAACTATTTTCCTGTTCTGAAATAACAATCTCTGTAACAATATAAGAAAATAATCTGAAGCTGGTTAATAATAGAGCTCTTTCAACGCTTTTTGAGCTTTAGCAAGTGTTAAAGTAAATAAAGAAAACTCAAGCAAAATGAGAAAACTCTTTCAGCTGACTCTTTGAACAGCATTTCATCAAATCCCCGCGTAAACGACCTAAACCCCCCACTATAAACGCTAACTCTCTTAATCAAACGCTCCATGACATCTTATTAACGCTCCCTTAAATTTGAATTTTGAATAAAAGGCCGCACTCTGATAGACTTTCCCGATTCTAGACTTTGTCTTTTCCCGTCTACTGTAGCACCGTCAAACGTCGAGCTGGTTAATTGGTATGCATGCCTAATCAGCGACCCATTGATACGTCCCCTCCAAAAATATACTTTAGGACATAAAAATAGGAGCACGTGTTCTTGTACATAGAGTATAAAGGTACTAATCCACGTGTAGCACCGGTCACATTACACATCTCCATAATTATCAGGCTCTGGAACGGTATTTTCGGGATCCGGGAAAACGCAAAATATCTTGACTGGAAACGGGATTTGACTACTACCCGCACGGCCGGGAAGCAGGATTCATCAAAATTTAGGTACAGGATGGGGGATTTTTTGCCTTTCTGTCGGGAATTGGAGGATCTAACTGCTACCCGGGAAGCGGAAAGCGGGATTCATCAAAATTTAGGCACAGGATGCGGGATTTTTTTTGCCTGTCTGTCGGGAATTCGAGAAGACGTACGTTCCAGCGGTAATTATAACTGCGAATCAAACAGGCGAAAGTTCAGTGATGTCTCCTATCCTATCTTGTCTCCCTCTTCGATTTTTGTCCGCTTTTTCCCTCCGCTTCAGTATACTGAGGGTATGAAAGGCTATTTCGTATTTGCAATGGCCTTGAAACACGCGTAAATTGAGTGTATCAATCGAAAGAGCCAATCTACATCTTACTCTATTTTATTAGGTTTTGCGGAAAGTTTTACGATATTTTGGAAACAAAAACGGAATTCGGGAAAGCGATGAAAAAAGTGCCGGATCGATGCGGGATTTTCGTGAAAAAGGAGCGGGAATGCGGGATCAGCACCCTCTCCTCTCCCCCCCGCCCCCGCCCCCTTCCTCCCTCCCTTCCAGACCCCGATCCGAGTTTAATATTTCAACGGAAATGGCTGAAATGGTGCAAGCGCAGCAAATAACAGCTGTGTACCGTAAGACGGTCTATTTTACTCATCAAGGTAAATACATCTTGGGCCTGGGAAAGGAGCAAAATATACTAATTTACAGCCGTTTTTACAAATACCATGGAAGGTTTAGGAGGTATTGTACATGTTGTCTTATTGTTTCTCTTCTCTTATCCAGTTTCTTGAAAGACCTTTCTTTCGCCGATTTGTCAGCAATATTTTATTGACCTGAGTTTAACGTCTCTTTCAAGCAGCTCAGTTGAAAATTACATCGAACGTTTTGGCAAGCGTCCATTTGTTTTGAAATGGCAAAACACGTGCATGGTCGAAACGTTGTGCCAGAGTTTAATATCGGTTACCGGATTTACGCAGACACCTTCACCTAAAAAAGTTTCTTATATATAAGTGCTTGAAATACGTAGCTCGCAAGTTAATTTAGATCCGTATCTAGCATTTTTGTCATGTTATCCATCGTTCATTATGAAAAAAATGCTGATATCACTGACAAATACTTAAACTGTTACGATGGGAAATAACAAAAACGGTTTTATGACTTTTATGTCAAGTTCAAAAGGAATAAAAAAGGAAAATTAATAGTTATCTCTTTCTTGTCTCCGTTATGTTGATCATTACCTGAGGTTAATGTTGTTGCTTTGCACAAAACAGCAGAAAAATGCCTTGAAAGAGGATATTGTTGAGTCAGGTTGAAATCGGTTGAAACACGGTTGAGATCATTCAGTAAGTGAGAAAAGATACCTCCCTCGCTCGGTCGAAACACTGTCCCTCATCATGACACTAGGAAAATTAACAGAAAACGTACATCAATATTGAAGCCACTTCCTCAAGCATGTTCAGCGACAACAATCTTAATCGTTACACAGTTTTACGGCAATAGTCTGAGAGACTTTCTGTCCCCTCCCCTAGTAGCAAGCATCGTACTTGAACTCTTAAAATGTAGTAAACTATAAACTCGTCTAAAGCTGTTTTATAGTCAAAGACGATATTTTAGAAGTTTTACGATATGACCTAAATTCAACAACAAAGTAACAACCATGACGACAAAGAGATGATGATAAATTTAATACAAATTAAAAAGATTTCAGTAAAAAATATGTATTTTAGTAGCAACGCTAAAAGAAATGAATTCAGTCACTGAAAGAGGCGAGAGTGAAGTTTAGAGATGATAAGACTTTGTATGGAGGAAATACAAACAGGACGACGAAATTTTCTTTCACATTCTAAATTTAGGTGCGGTCTCCAAGAATTCCACTCCAGGTGATTTTGGCCATTTTCCGACTTCCAAAACCCTCACTTTCAGAACAAGCGTAATTGCAAAACCTTTCTGGTGAAAATGAGTTTTATTAGCATTAGAATAAAAAAA